CAAAGTGTTACATCTTTTCTTTTCAAGATTTAGTCAACAATGTTTCTTTACTAAATCTACCTACTTTTTCGTGCAAATATGTCAGTGTAACTCAAATTTCCATCTCTAATTAGATTAATCCTGATTTATGAACGACCATCCCGTTCAAGTATTTAAGGAGAATAAAAAGTAAACATAGTGTCATCAAAGGTATTCAAGTGATCATCTCCTCTGGTATTGTAGGAGGTTGAAACTGAGCAATTTCGCTTACTATTTCAACCTGAGCTGAAGGTGTTGGGTTACACTGGTATTTTCTCACCGAAATCCCGCGCCAAAACGATGAATGAGGAGGATCGAAAATATGTGGATGGATGTGCAATTTTCTGGAAATCGGAGAAGTCAGTACATTGTTGTCATTTTTACTGCATAGAATTTTATAGAATGCTGCTTAGTTTATATTAAGTTATTTTTTTGTTTCGCCCAAATATCCATGTCTTAATCCGATGCAGATTCGAAATGGAACGAGAACATCTGATTGAATTTACTCAATTGGTTGTCAAGAAGGCCTCTACATCTGAACATATGCTCAACAGGGTGATGCCACGGGATAACATCGCGCTTTGTGCAGTTCTGCGCATCAAGGAAAATGTTTACAACAATCGTAAGTTCTTATTTTTTCTGTGCAATTCTACCCTTCAGTGTTTTAGACTGTTTTTCTACCCTGCTAAGACTGTTTGATATTATATCTGAATTTATGCTTAAATCGGTTACCACGTAAACTTTGCCATAGGACGGATGACAATGGCTGCTGCAGACAACGTTGTGGGTTCACCTCTTGTTGTTTGCGCCGCTCATATTCATTGGGATCCTGAACTGTGCGATGTCAAGTTGGTTCAAACAATGATGCTTGCCCATGAACTATTCAGGCTTCTCGAGGAGGTCATACAAGCAAGTCACATTTACTTCAACCTACTCTTGTTAGCATGTACTTTCTAGGTGGCTGAACAATTCCGAATTACACCACAGCAAACACCTCTTCTCATATGTGGCGATTTAAACTCAGTACCAGACTCAGGTATTTACGCAAGTCATACTGAACATAATGTCTTCCTGATACAGCATCTTTCTCT